TTGCTTTGTCTGTCAAAGCACTTTATAAATAAAAAAAAAGTGCTATATCCATAAAAGTATTTAAAATAATATTTATTAATAGAGCACTTTTAAAACCAATGTTACGAAGTGCTTTACAAAAAATGACAATAAAATAATAAAATAGAAGACAAGTTACACAACATTATTATTACAAAACTGATGAAGGTCAGTTGCAGTCCAGTAAGTATTTCAGCACTGTTTTCAATAATAACTTTACCACTAATCACGTTCTCACACATTCTTGTCTGAAACCAATTACACTTGGCAGACGTGTCCAGTAAAATAATCTTAAGTCAAGGTCCACTTTAACCACATCTCACTGTCTTCATCAGTTTGAGTGACCCTGAAAAAGCAACTGAGTCTTGAGTTAAGGTTTTATGTCCTTGAGGAGTCAAACTGCTGTTTCCAAAGTCAACAACAGACATTTTACACCCACATACAGTCTGACAAGTAGGTTGTAAAGTGCTGCTTTATGAACTGATTTGTGCTCCATTAGTCATAATATATCTCTCTTCTCTTCTGCTCATTATTTACCTTTTCAGAACATCGTATGTATGAGACAAACACAGATTATAAATGTCTGCAATAATTAACGGTCAATTCTTCCATCATGTGTGGGACTCTCCATCAACAAATTATAACAAGAGAACAACAAACAAGTGCAAATAGTTTATTGAATCTTTTGGACAAAAAGGCATTTTGCTTCATTGAGAAAAATAGTTTATAGAATAGTTTATTCTGTCAGCGTAATGTGAATGTTTGGCTTGCACCTGCTCTCAGGTGGTTGTTGGAGGAAAAAAAAAAAAACAAGCCCAACCAACCGGGCAGCAACATTTACAAGGTTACATAAACCACTTTTAAAAACAGTTAAACAGTCAAAATCAAAAAACAACAAAAGAGCTGCCAGTCTCCTGCCGACAAGGTTCCTACACGACCCTTTTCCAAATGCTGTCCCTTTACAAAGTGTTCAGACACTCACACTACAGAGCTCACAGGAACAGGATTATACCTCACCAACACCGACTCTCTGACTCCACTGCAGCAGCTGGAAGCTAAAGTATAAGACTGAGCTGCAACTAAATTAGTCGAATGGCAGAAACTTTATTGGCAACTGTCCTGGTAATCGATTAATCATTTTAAGTGAAAGATCCAAATATTGTCTCTACGTTATAGTAAGTATAGTTTTAGACCATTAGTTTTTATGTTATATAGGCCAAACAATTGAGAAAAGAATTGTTAATTGCAGCCCTCAACACTTGTTTTGTAAAACATTCAAAGCTGGAATTGATCAAATCCACGATGTGTATTCTTTAGACGTGTGCAGGAAACCCTGCGGCTCGGCTAGTGTGTTTTCAGTTTGTCTCCAAACAGCGTCATCAAGAGTCCGTACAGGAACCCCCCCGTGAGGATGAGCAGAGTGCTGGATACGGGGCCAAACGACAGCAGGGCCCCCAACACGTAGAAGAGCAGCAGCAGCAGTATCGTCCTGTAGCTGGCCAGCGGACGCAGGCTCACCCTCGGCTGGCGGTTCCTCTCCAGCGTCCGCCGGGATAACGGGCTCTGCTTCAGTTTCACGGTGGAATCCGGATTGGCCAAGTAGTGACGACCCAGGCGGCCCAGGAAGTCCGGACGTGAGCAGAGCGCGTTCATGTGGCCTCCGAACTGTGGGAGCACAACGGCAGAAAGATATGAGCATCTAAAGCTGAAAGAAAGAAGCTTCAACCCTCCGTAGAGCTGAGCAGGTTCAGGCCACTCACCCTTTCATTGATGAGAGACGAGATCCTGTAGAAAAGCCTGACCAGCAGGGCGTTCTCGTAGCTCCTAATGGGCTGCAGCTCCGGGTCTCCTTGATAGTGAATGTCAAACCTGCGCAGTCCACTTAAGATCTGCACAAAAGGACAACACACTTTCACTGTCAGAGTTTTTAGTGTCTTGGCCCACAGTTCTAATGTGTTCCCCTCTCTCTCTTGAAGTACTGACCTGCCTCCTGCCCAGGTCAGTCAGGATCAGACCGTTCTCTCCCTGGATGCAGTCTGGCAGCTGCTTGCAGTTTCCATCGTCCTGGGAGGAACCCAGGTTGGATATAAGCTGAGTGAGCTGACCCTGGTTCAGCTACAGAACAAAGAAACGTACAGTTAACATCTACAGTCAGGATGTTTTTACATGGACGGGTAACTGAACCGCACTTCCTGTCGGCACTGGCAGTAACAGCACATGGAATTTAAATGAGTGAATGATGTATTATACTATAGTTTAGTCTTAGGTTAAAAGATATCCGACGTTCTTAATAACTTAACTTACTTACTTAATGCCTGTTCAAGAACAAAAATATCTACATACGTGAACAATTTTGGGTTTTAGAATAATAATTTTAGAAGAATAATAAAATATGTTCCAATATAATACATAAAAATAAATATATATACACACGAAATAAAACTGACCTTGAAGATTTGACACAAGTTCTCCAAAGCTCTGTCCAGGAACTCGTGGGTCTTTTTCAGACATTCCCCGCTCTCCTCCGGCTCGGCCCCGGGGAAGGTGTTGTTGAGCTCAGAAGAGCCCATCCCAAACCAGGACATGAACGAGTTATTGGCCGCCACCTCGCTGGAGTGATCCGATATCCTCTTGGCCGTCTGTCTGGCCTGTGCGATTATCTGGATTAACTTCATGACCTGTGAAATGGACAGAAGACGTCAACAACAGGAAGTTTCAGTACGAATTCCCACTACGACTGTAACACACGCTGACTTACTGCTCCTCTGAGCTCAGTGCCAAACATCTGTTTGTACTGGCAGTCCTGGCCCTCCAAAGCATAGACGTGACTCTTCACCCTGAACACCATGTCTGTCATCACCCGTTGCCGCGACGACAGGAAGCTGCCTCCTTGGCTCGGCGTCAGGTAGCCGCGGGGCTGCCGGTGGTGGAGGACGTGCTCCGGCTCCAGAAACAACTGTTCTCCTGCAGAGAGATGTTTGCTTTAGTTTGTCTGTATATATATTAATCTAAATGTCTGAATGTCTACGGTTATTATTAACTTCTTATTTTAACAACACGAAACAACGATGGCTTCACCTCGTGCCTGTGTTTGCTTGTTTCACTTGTTTCTCACCTTTCTGGATCATCTCAGAGAGGTTCGGCTGAGCGAAGACTTTGGCCACCCTGAAGACCATCAGTGCGTTTTTGGCATTAACCAGATCGGTCCTCACGGTTCGGTTCAAAAACACCTGGAAGAGCTTTGTGTACATGAGCAGGTTCTCCTGAACAAACGACTCCCTGTAAAAGAGAAACTTCATGTCAGAACCAAACTGCAGTCAATAAATACAACATCGTCAGCTCATTAATCACCATCTGCATCTACAGCATGAGCACAATAAGCACCATATTTACCAGCACAGCTAACTCCACCTGTTACTGTACATATAGTACTGTTACTTTGACATTTGTCTCTAGAAAAACCCACTATGTTCACTGAATGATTCCAGAAAAGATATGAGACTCACCATTTATCAGGGACTGTTCTGTTTTGGTCTGGCTGAGGATTGGTCTTCTCCCCTGTGTATCTCCACGGTTGGATGTAGCTCAGCCACGTCTCCAACACCTCAACAAAGAGACGATACACTCTCTTAACAATGAAGTAAATGCTGTAACAATGTGAGTTTCTACAGCTTCATGCTTCATAACCATAGTCTAATAATCTGTAGTTAAAAAGGTATGAACTCCTCGTTTCTTACCACAGGCAGCTTGTTGCAATAATTGAGAAATTAAAACTTATTGAGCTGTTTCACAGTGAAATTCTGTATGAAATGGTTCATCAGCTACATGGCAAAAGGGGGAAAAAGAAGGAAGTAGTTTCCCTGTTGGAAAGGTTCTGGGAAGCACAGTGAACACAAGCTCTAACTGCAGACAGACAGTTGGACCAGCAAGACAAATAAATATTTCTTTTGGGTGAGACCTACCGCTCTGAAAGAGGCGTCTAAAGGCCAGTGACCGAAGCAATGCTGGAGAAACAGGTACAGTTTCTGCTGCACGAAACGTTGCACCACCACCCTGTAGGCAAGAGGAACATCACACATGTGCTTGTTAGGGGTGAGTTTAATACATATATATAGATTTATGTATAAACACAGAATTAAAATAAAGCCATTCATTTTTTTTGGAACAAAAATCCCATTTAAAATTATTTTTTCCTACTACGTGATGCTGGAGAGATGGTAGAGAGGCAAACTGGTTTTGTCAAATTTAGTCAAAAAAGTTTCATCACAACATATTGCCCTGATTCTACCGGGCACGGCTCTGTGACGTCACATCTGCCACACTGTTTTGTTGTGTCCTCCATGCAGCTTCACACCCTTCTGGTAGGGTTTCAGAAGCACTTTGCCTCCAGATTTGATTAACTTGCTTATATTTTGTTGATTTTTCTTTATTTATGAACTTCTACTGTGGGTAAGAAGGTTACATAGTTAAACTGTTAACGTTGTCTCTATCTGCACAGGATGTTTTATTTTGAAAATTCACCAGATTCTCTATGCCATTTCTAATTTCTTACTTTCTAACTTTCTTTGCTCTGTGCTGTCTTCCATCAAAAATAGATTATAGAATAGTATTCTGTGCAGGGCAAATATAAGAGCTGCTTCTTAAACACTTTGGTGCTTTTTTTATATATATAGGCAGAAAATTCATCCAACTGTGAGCAGGACCAAGAAAAATCAAAGGAAAAACAAACAAAATGGATGAAAAGAGGTTTTCAAATCCAACTCAAGAACTATAAAAAGGTGTCAGGCACTAAGGTAGACCAGCAGCGAGGCCCCACAGGCTGACGGTAACACTTATGGTGAAGCTGACCTCTTGAACTCCTCCAGCGGGCTGGGGTGAGTGTGCGAGTGGGCCGAGGGCGAGGAGGACAGCTGCTCGGGCTTCAGGCTGTTGGAGAAGGCATGCAGATGTTTCACCAGGAGACGCACCACCAGCACGTGCTCCTCTGTCGGGCTGAAGGGTTCCTGAAAAGGCAACCGGTCAACAAAGTGCCAAACAACAACATGACACCCAAATCAGCCACAATTTCAACAAGCTCAACAACAAGCTTCAACAGCTCCCAGGTTCAACAAGCAGCCAATCGTAATGCATCCCCAGTCCAAAGCAGCCAAACAATCACCAAAGGCTCAGAGCACGTTCTACTTCACAGAGTACAGAGGTCTCACAGTCTAGGAACCCTTTTTCTAATGTTACAGCTCAGCCTCACACACTGGGGAGTTTACTTTGTTCTGTCTTTAGTGGAAAGGTGCTTCTATCTGACTGATCTGTGTTCTGCTGCGATACTCAACATCAGATCTGGCTGCTTCATCTGAGCAATACTGTGTTAATTATGGCATTAGGGTTGCAGTGGTGAGAGATTTTCACAATACAATAACCTTTAAAGGATGAAAAAAGCTTTATTATCATCATTTATAATAATAAAAAACTAAATATTATATCCTTTATTTGTTAATAACACTAATATGGTAGAATTCAATACCGTAGATAAGCAAATGGCACGACACTCGTCAATTTTCATACCACGGTAAATCTATCAGTACACAACTGCAATCCTAGTATGCTTTTTGTTTTTTCATTGTTTAATAAAATTATTAAATCTTTAATTGGCTTTTGTTGCCAGGATATTCATCTGTGACCAAAAACTTCAGACTATGACCGTAAGCACCGTACAAAGTACACCTGATATATAACACAGTCATTTAATATTGATGTGGATATACAGTGTATTTAAGTCAATATACATTTTGAATTTCATTTTTATCTCTTCATCACAAGAGTTATTAAAATGTAAGGATCAAATTACATTTCAATAAGTGTCACTGTGGGAAGAGAAAGGTGGGACCTCAGTGCTCCATCAACTGCTAATAGCGAAGCTGCTTTGTCAGAACGATGCAATGTTTCCTCTTCTAGATAATGTCAGCAAACACAAACATTACCTCTGTACAGTTCTATATGCAATTAGGCTAAGAATCAAAAAGAGCAATAATTAATCAATAATAATTTAATTATTTACTGAATGGCATGTAATATGATGATTATTTAAAAAGTAGTAGTATCTTTTGCTTTACGAAGAGCAATAGTGTCAATAGAAAGAAACATTAATCAAACACATGAACACGTAAAGCAACGAAGCACCAGATTTAGTGTAAAAAAAAAAAAAGCATGCCATAAAAAAAATAAAAACAGCTGAAGAGAACCACACGCAAACCAGTAAAACAACGGCTCAATGAATCAAATTCCAAAGCTTCATTCCAGGATTACGTTTCCTGTCAAGGATACTTCTCTGTTGAAATTCACAATTTACAGTCAGACTGGAGGCTTTATACGGGAACAGAGGAGCAAGATTAAACTATAGAGAGCAGTCCATCGCAGAGGCTATTCACATGATCTGTTTTTTGAACTGTGGGTAAGAACAAACACTGCTGCTTGTTGATCCTGACATTAAAAGACTGATGATAACATTCTTCAACAGTCGATAAAGTCATTAAATCTGGCTCATTAAAGTCAAGCTCATTAATAAAGGACAACTAGTTCAACATGAATGTGGAACTACTGCTATTTAACAGGGTTCCCACTCTTCTTAAGAAATCATTTTTCAATAAAAGGACAGCACTGTGTTAATGGACCCTCCCTGTTAGCTCGCTCTGATGGTGCACTTGTCTGTTCTGAACATAGTCACTGACGGACATCAGAGCAGAAATGAAGAATTAGTCAATGCTGCTTTGTGTGTGTTAGTGTCACAGTGCGCAGCTTATCCTTCCAACAGCTGAGTTTCAAACAAAATACAATTAAAATTAAAGTATAAATTCAAGTTATTTTTCATTCATTCAGTCATTTTATTCAATTTCCAGGACGAATGGGAACCCTGTTTAATAACTGATTGTCTTTTATCATTTGGGTTGTGGGCGACAATATATTGTGCATCACAATTTGCCAATCGTGTCCTCCTTCTACAAGCTAACCTGTTTTTTTTTTTAGAAAAACTAAAACCATTCCCATCATGGCTGCTAATGTACAGAAGCAGGAAGAATGCAGCTAATCAGCTAATGAGGCTAATCTCAGCATTAGGTTGGTGACTGGAGGGACAACGTCTCACCGTGTATGTCAATATAAGAGAAGTACCCTTGACTGTGATCTTAACTCATTGAGGTTTACCTCCAGGAGGCCCCAGAGGGGCGGGGGTGAATGAAAAGGTAAAAGTACTTGGTAGGTGTGGAGGGTCCCAGAGCCTGGTGGGGCGTGGGGTTGGCACGGCATGCTGGACATACTGAGGCGATACTGTAGCAGCGCCAGCTGATCACCCGTAACCACCAGGGGGGAGAGGAAGATGAGGAAGAGGGAAGACAACGACAAAAAAGGTGGAGGAGGAAAAACGGTGAATAGAGGAGAGGGGAGAAGTGAGGAAGGATGAGGAAGAGGAAGGGAAAGAAAAGGTGGCAGGAGGAAGGTACACATGAGAACAGGAGAAAAGGAGGCAGCAAAAAGGAGAGTGCAACCAGACAGAAACAGTTGGCCAAAAACATTCAGGAGAAAGGAAGCAGAAAACAGGGGAGGAGACAAACAGAAATAAAATATTGACTGTGGGAACACACTGCTGTTACTGTGGGGAACGAGCCCTGTCCTACTCTCCACACACAGACCTTTACATGGTTGTAGGGACGGGAATCACTTCACACTGTGCGTTTATCAGAAAGGAAACAAATCTCTTAGTGGACATACATTTTGTCCATTAACAGATTAATAACAATAATTTGACGGAGTTGTAACGTACACACTGCAGCTCGAGGTGTAACGGATCAGGGCTGATACGTACGGACCGCCCCACATCTGACCCAAATTTAACCCTCCACTTCTGGAGCTGTTGGTGAAAGGCTAACAATCCTGAGGCACAAATGTATTTTTATTTATTTTGCCGTTATAAAAAACGATCCAATCCATTACTTATGTGATCCGTTGCACCCCCACTCGCAGCAGTAATAATAATAAGACTGCATAAGCACATGTGCGACAACAAAAATACCGTTTGTGTTTATAGTCCAATAAATATCCTGATGTATTCACATTTAAATCAAAGTTTGCAGACGAGTGTAAATCATTCCCATCCCTAATGTTAAACATTATTAACACAGTGAACTGTTAAACTGAAAGATTTTGTTTTGCACCGATAAAACTGTCAATATAATCAACTTTGTTAATAGATGCACAAGATGAAAATCAATTTGGCCAAAATCTTGCAGTTTAAGTCACTCTGAACACAATGGACACAGAACACAACACAGCAAGTCAACACAGGGGTTAATATATAAACATACACACATACAGGGTGAGCATTTAGTATAGTGAGGTACAAAATGTTTATGCTGTAGGTTAAATAAAAGCATGTTACACAAGGAGATGAAGGCCTATTTCACTGTTTCCTTTACAGCATTATGGAGCAGTAACGGAGCTCAAAACCTGATACAGGAAAATTAATCAGCAGCTATTTTAATAACTGAGTCATTGATCAATCAAACTTTGCTGTAATCTCCTCTCTTTTGGGGTTTTTGTTAGTGAGTAACTACAGACAGTAATACTGCTACATTAATACTGAGGAAACAGTGTTATTGGTGGATCAGCAAGTGAGTACTGCATCACACGAACCATGCAATCTATATAGCCGAGGGTCAAAGCTTATGTAACCATAGCGACTTCTCCTCAATGTTGTATAAAGCAGCTAAAAGACACACAAACAACACCAGCATAAAGTCTTATGGTTGCTTTAGATGGGAGGGAAACAAACCTATATTAAATATTCTGAATTACAGTCTGTGGTTGACAGATTTTTCATTTAAGCTGTGTTATTCTGTCGTTTCAAACTGGAAAATATTTAAAAGGGAAATAACGGTATATTCTAACACAGCGTATTTCCCATGAATGTGACTAAAGTGACTCTTTGGGCCAGGCTACCTTTGCAACAATAGATTCAGAGGTAACAAGGCAAAACAAAGTAGATTAGGGAAACCTAACTTAACCTGTACAAATATACTTTATTATTATTATTATTACTCTTATTATTAGTTTGACAGAATAAATACAGAAAGTCACTATGGCTAACTGTGCTAACTGAGTGCAATGGCAGAATAGTTTGGAGGTCAGAGTTCTGCATGATCCAGAAGCAGCACCAGCAGACCTGATAGGAAATAGTACGGACGTTTGTCGAAGGACGTTTCCACAGACCAGAACCTCAGAGTCACAACAGTTAGAAACTTAATTTCTGTTGGGGTACTGTGATAAACAACATCACTACAGGTGGCAGCGTAGAGCATCTCTGCTGTATCTTCTGCCAGAGAAACCGTCACCGTGTTGTGGCTTTATGTTGGTGTTTCACATGCAATCACACACAGATGAACACTTAGGACATGCAGCATGCAAAGGGACATGAATGGAAGCAAAAGCACTACTACCGAGAACACATGCCACACTCCTTAATGCAGTAGCTTTACTCTACAGATACTCATGTGCTATAACCTCTAAGAAGGGATTTTAAAAGCATATTTCAAATAACCCAGAAAATATGATGCATCTAGTGAGGAACAGGGATGTCTGCTGTGCATTCACACTGCAAGCTAACTTCAGTTCGCTGATTCACATCTGACAGTAAAAACAGAAAGTCATGTGCTATCGTACAATATGCTACTTAGCTTTAACTGTGGTGGTGTGTACAAATGTGGCTGCTTGCAGTGTGAATGCAGAGTTATATATATATATATAGTGAGAAACTATAAACTTTTTTTTATCCTAAAACATGAAAACTGTCATTTTCTCTATAACTAAGTTAATGGACAACTTCACTTCAGCCTGCTCAGGGTGTTGTTCAGCCACATTAGCTGGTACATCATAAAACTCACACACAATTTTACAGAGCATAGTTTTAGAGTAAGACCTCATAACAGTAGCACCATTTTCCCACCCTGGGCTTGCTCCGAGATAGGTCAGAGATGGTGGAGGTGTGTGTGTGGGGGGGGGTGGTGGGAATGTGGTCAGCCAGTCAACAGCCAGCCGTGCGATGCTGCAGTGCAGGGAAGAGGAGGGAGAGGGGGAGGTGGGGGAATATTTATCTTACCTTCACCTGAGGAGACTGGAGCTTCTGGTACATCTCCAGGGAGTAGTGATGGAGCCAGATCTCCACAAACATCTTCAGACAAACAAACACGTTTAAACTTAAATTCATACAGCTCAAACACTAGAAAGGTGAAAAAATCTTTCACTTTAAGACATTTTGTAGCTGTCAGACCCAGTAACGGCATTTATAAATCCCTTTATTGCCCTTGCTTTGTGTCTTACCTGTAACAGTGTTTCAGACCTCCAGATCTCCTGGGCTGCGGGGTCTGCGTTCACTGACGGTTGATGGAATATGTGATGTTTCAGAAGACTGGGGCTGTGAACGCCATAACCAGCAAAAGAAACAGTGGAGGATCTGTTGAATTTAAGAGAGTGGAAATATCAAACATTATGCTGCCATACTCTGTCAAACATTCAATTCATTCAGTTTCTCCATCAAAAGATTTGTTTAAAATGCAGAACATGAAAAAAAGAACATCTTTATTCAACCTTTCTTGCTTCAAATACCTCGGTGAAGGTGCGGTGACGGAGCCTCTGGAGTCAGAGAAAGGGGAAGGAGGTACGCTTCCTTCACTGGGGAGGAAGTATTTAAGGTAAGTGTCCACTAGGACAAAGTAGGCACTGTCAGTGGAGCTTCCATGTTGGCCTGGAGGGTAGCTCTGAAAACATCCAAGCATGCAAGCTTTAGCAAACAATACATAACACTCCTGTGTACTTAACTTAATATCACTGATAGGACTTTGGCAAACTCACCTTTGGCGTGATGAGACAGTAGGCAAAATTGAACATGAAGAATTCAAATGGATCTGCAGAACATTAAGGAACAACCGAACTGCACAAAGATGTTCTTATATAAACCCTCCTGTAGTCTGACAGTGACAACTTTGTTAGAAAGTCTAGTGTGCATCAAAGTCAGGCAAAAAGCTAAAGCAAATGCTGCATGCTCTCAGATTCCAGCTTCTCCAATGGGAGGAATTGATTTAATATTAACTGGAGAGTCACTGGTTTCATTGCCTAATTCACCCTGGTTTATAGATGGTGGTCTGACATAGCCACACATATCTCCACACTTTGTTTTAGCTCAGCGCTGAAGGAAGCAGTAAAGTACATAGCTAGAGGTCCAAACTGCTCTGCTCATAAAGGATGATATTAAGTTATGTGGTTGTGTTCTTTAACACAAACTTTATGTACTCAGCAGCAGCGAGCACAATGCACAGACACACCAACACTATTAGGCTGCAACCTGAGCATCTACTGTAACTCACAGCGCTGTAACTAATTTAATGACTATTTAATGACTGTGGGAAGCACTGCGATTTATTTCACTCCTTTAGTTGCAGCGCTACAACAGAATGATGAAATCTGTTGACATAGAATTGTAAAGAAAGATTTAAGAGCTGATCTCCGTTTAATATATAGAGTAAACTGAGATGAGCAGATAGTGTTCAGTGAACAGTTATTATTAGTTATTAGCCTGAAAGAGGTTTGTATTTTCTAATAAATGCTTGACTCGACACAGGCAATCCCTCACTAATCCCAGACAGATTAGTGTTAGTGTTGGAAGGATACTGAGAGCAAGGTTCAGAGTCAGCAGACCAGACAGGGGGAACTGCAGCTTGTTGTGGAACAGCGGGCAGTCGGGGAGAACTCCCTCCTGGATGCAGGCCTTCACGGGACCCTTAAAGATACACCAAAGGATGAGAATTCAGGCAATGGAATTCATTATTCTAACCCTGATCTATTATATGTACATTTAAAACTTTGCATGTTGTGAGCACACATGCTAACTAAAGGGTCTAACGTATTGATCGCAGTCACTGGTGCTGCATCGTCACAGGAGGTGCTCTGTTGCTCTGAAGGAATCTTCTAGCTTAGCAGTTCAGTTTGGGTTTGAGAAGAAAATAAAGAAACATGCACAGGTGTGGGTCAGGATGTTTTAAGAGAAGAGACGGGTGTTCTTACCGGGAGATAATTAACGGGTATTTCATATTTGTACTCTTCTGCTTGAAGTTTATACACGAGCTTCATCATCGGCCCACTGAAAACACAATCAGAACCATGTTCGATTAGATTCTTTGAACAAACAATGGGCAGAATTACACACAGGATATGTTGCTGTGATCATTACAAAAGAACGTGAAACTACCTCGGGTTTAGAAACTCCATAGCAGTGTTGTACTCATGGCTCCGCGAGTGCAGGAGTCGCAGGTTCCAGCCGGCGATGATCCCATCCAGACTGCCAAACACACTCTCCACCAGCCAGGGGAAAATCGAGTGCAGCTCCTACACACACACACAC